TGTCACGTTCTTGTAATAGTACAGCACCTATTCCGACTTCGGACGCGTCAGTTCTAAGTACAAATGGTTCATTGCAGTCTGGTACATGAAGTATGGGTGCACTGATTAGATTAGCTTTCAGTGTTTCAAAGGCTTTCTTAGAACTGTCATCCCATGTAATTTTGTTCGGCTCTGAATTTTTAGTTTTGTCTGTGAGAGGTGATGCTTTGGCCGCGTAGTTTGGAATAAATTTGCGATAATATCCGGCAAGTCCAAAGAATTATCTCATTTGTTTCTTCGTCTCTGGACGAGGTGCAGACTGAATCTTTGCGATCTTTTCATCTTGTGGCGCTAGCTGACCTTGACCTACTACGTGTCCTAAGAATTATACTGTTTCCATTCCTATCACGCATTTGCTGGGCTTTGCGGTTAGTTTTGCGCGTTGGAGTCTGCGTAGAAGGTCTTTGAGAGTTTCTAAGTGACTTGGCCAAGTTTGTGTATGAATTAAAATGTCATCAATGAAATTATCAACGTGGTCCATACCGTGGAATAGTGTTCTTATCATACGCGAGAAAGTGGCAGGGGCATTGATTAAGCCGAATGGAACCACGTTAAACTGGTACAATCCATTTGGGGTCAGAAATGCCGTTTTTATTTTGTCACTTTCTTTAAGCAGAATTTGCCAGTAACCTTTACTTAAGTCGAATTTGGAGAAGTAGTGATCTTTCGATAATTTGGCAAAGATTTCCTCCTGATTTGGGATGGGTTCTGCATCAAATGTTGTGATTTTATTGAGTTCGCGGAAGTCAGTGCAAAATCTATTGCGACCGTCTTTCTTTTTGACGGTTACAATTGGCGATGCGTAGGGCGAATTGGACGACTCTATAATACCCATTTCGAACATTTCCGCAATTTCAGAATCTACCGTTTCTTGTAATGCATATTTGCATTGAGGTCAATTTTGTAGTCCACACTTCCTACTTTCTCTAGTACGCGAAATGGGCCTTTCCACTGCAGTAGTAATTTATTGTTATCAGTGGGTAGGAGGAGCAATACAAGATCATCTTTCTTGAATGTTCTTGCGTGAGCTTTCTTGTTGTAGTATTTCGTCATGTTCTTAGTCGCTACACGAAGTTCTTCCTGTGCCAATTTGCAAGTATCTTCTAACCTATTTCGAAGATCGAGTACGTACTGATACGTTGTTTTGCTTTCAGGAGATTCAACTTTTCCCGTCCAAAGTTCCTTGAGGATAATCATTGGGCCACATACTGTTCGATAGTATAACAGTTCGAATGGCGCGAATCCAAGACTACTTTGCGGTGTCTCGCGATATGCGAAAAGAAGCGGTGCTACGTATCTGTCCCAATCTCTCGGTTTGTCTGCGCAAAGACGTTTAAGCATCGTTTTCAGTGTGCCATTAAAACGTTCAACAAGACCGTTACACGCGGGATGATACGGCGTTGTCGTTAGTTAACGGATAGATAAGAGTCTACTGATTTCTTTCATGAGACCAGAGGTGAATTGAGTTCCTTGGTCAGTTAGGATTTCATTCGGAATGCCGACACGAGAAAACACGTTCATCATCGCTTCTGCAACCCCTCTATGCTTGGTAGCGGGATCGCCTCGGGATAGCGGGTAGCGTAATCTACGATAGTTAGAATGTAACGATTTCCACGCTCGGTCATGGGTTGGATGGGTCCTACAATATCAATCGCGACTCGCTGAAAAGGTGTATCAATAATTGGCATTGAACCAAGCGGTACTTTGGTGACTGTGCCCTTTGAGATTGTTCTCTGGCATATGTCACATGATCGACAAAATCGCAAAACATCTGAATGAATGCCAGGCCAGAAAAAAACTGCTCAGAATTTTGTCACTCGTTTTCTTTGGGCCTTGGTGTCCACCTAACACTGATTCGTGTGCCAATTTCATGACATGGACACGAATTTCTGAGGTACTACGAGTTGGTGACATGTATCACCGTGATCTAAATTCGGGGATTGAAATTCGCGAAAAATCAAACCATCCCTATTTAGAAAACGTGAGGTTCTGTAACGGTTCATTCGCGGTTCGCTACTTTCTACTCATTCACGAATTCGAAGTAATGTCACATCTTCTTGTTGTGCTTGCCGTATTTCGTCTCTGCTAATTTCTGGTAGACCGTCGGGTACTTTGAGTTTTTTCAACGGTTTGCCTTCGGCTAATTTCTGTGAGCGCGTTTTGCACGGCGCCGATTGGCTCTGTGTCGTAGTTAAAGTTACGTGTACTCGTGTTTTCATTTCGGATAATTCGGGTAGGATTTAGTGGCAAGTTCGCGGGTACCCAGTCGGGTTTCGGATCACCGGGGTTTCTTGCGCCTAATATATTACCGAGAAGTAAATCGTAAACAGGGTTTGTCATGCATACTGCCTCTACCGTACCGACGAAGTATGGCGTGTCAAGTGGTACGTATGCTACTGGTAAATTACTGACTGTTCCGTCGGCCATTACGCATGTTCGGTCATGTTCAAGAAACTGGTTAACGCGAACTAAGTCCTTACGAACGACTACTCCACTACAACCACTATCGCGTAGTATCGATACTACTCCACACAAACCTAACACCACTAAGGCACAAACAAAGCTCACTAGCTGGCAGCGATTAGGAGAAGGAAATTCAGTTCGTATTTCATAAACTAATGGTAAATCCTTCGTTGTTTTCATAGTTGTGACAGGACACTTCAATGACTTCACAAATTGAAATGGATTGGGAAAAAAATGAAAAAAATAACGCTGGCAACACGTAGTCAAACAAAAGGTTTCTTTTTCCGGTTTCGTTTTTTTTTCCCGGATGAGCCCCCAAATGTTAGGATTATTCCCTAAATTCGTGTCCAATTGTCTACAACTATTTATTTCCTCAACAACGAAAGAAACACACTAAACACGATAAGCTTTTTCTTCAGTATATCTGTTCTATTTACAAACTGTTTACACTTATTTACAACTGTGGTAGGCCGGTATTTCTTCACTTGTTACATTAATTCACATTCTGGATCATATTATTTCCGTCGTGTTTCCTTTTAAATGAATAGCAATTAGTCTTTAAACAAACTTCCACTGTGCAGTTACTTAAAATTATTTTACTCTATACAAGGGTCTTTAAATGGGAGGAGCAGGCGTTTTAAGGATATCAAGCCCATGGTACTGTCTTGAATCGTCTGATGCCGGTTGATCGTTGGAAACACCGCCTCCTGGGTTGGGTGTCCTACAGCCGCACCAGTTTGATCCCCTTAGCTAATGGCTACAGCTCGTTCCTTGTCCTTCACCAGACAGCCATGGTTGTGTGGTTTCTTGAAATCCCAGATCTCCTTGGTGTGTTTAACTGAGCACAAAACTGCTCACTGGGGCCTTTAAATTCAAGCCCAATGAAATTCAAGCCCAAATATTACTGCCTCAAATAGGCTCTCAACTAATCAACACAAACTGCCTGCTATAGCTCAGGCTCAGGTTCATGCAGTGACACACACAAGACAATTCTTCAAAATCACATCTGCTTTCTACCACGTTCTGGTCTGCTCTGATCTGATTCCTTCATGATCACTCTCACTTTTCCGTCAGAAACCTACACACACCCAATCACTCCACTGTTCCTTCACTGTTGGCAAAGCAACTCCCTAGTAACTTTTGTTTAAACACCTGAATTCTATTATTCACCAAATGTGTTGCAAACACCTTATTTACACACAACCATGGCTTTTGTAATGCTGCTGGAGAGAAAACCCACAACTACCGAAAAAGCTTGCATCATCCACATCTCATCACTCACCCTCCTGAGGACAGACGGAGCACACTCTCCGAAACGTCGAGTTCTACACTCAACCAACCGGTTCTATTCAGAACCACACTTCTTTCAAGAAGAGTTTTCTTTCCACATGGTGTTACCCGCAATTTTTTCAATTTGATGTCATCTGCCAAGCAAAGCTTCAAGTCATATACATGTATAAACAAACATATGGTTTTTTTTTTATAAATACCAACAGGTATGTTTTAAATTCGGCAAGTGCAATAAACGTTAAAAATGCTACATGTACAATGTACTTGGCAAGTGCAATAATCGCTATATTTTATGTTTAAATGACAAGCTACCTAGATGTATGTGTAAAATGTACTGAAATAAATGTATATTCGATAATAAGGCAAGCGTATTAAATATTCCAAGATACATGGTGTTCATGGATTTGTACAGTGTGAACAAGACCTTTTTTCGGACATACATATTTAAGACACCTTGTTTGTGTGTCTTTGAAGGAAATTGGAGCATACATGTGTCTTGAAGAATTAGACTCATTAATAACTGCCTTCTCTAAAACCTGGAGCATTCCTGTTTCACAAACTGCTTGTGTATGCATCTTTGAACTAACTTTTTGTCAAACAGGAACTTTGCGAGTTTCAAAGAAGGCAGTTTAAAACGCTCTAATTCTCCAAGAAACATGTGTGCTCAACATTTCTTCAAGGCTGCATAAACAAGGCATCGTAAATCTGTATGTTAGGAAAAGGACTAGTTCACACTGTACAAAGCCTTGCACACTATGCATCCATTAAGACTTTTTTTTTTCTATAGATATACAATTATACCAATAACGAGTTGATAAGAGAAATGATGGCTCTATCCCATTCAGAGACGCCTCTCCTATAGATTGGCTTGTGAATAAAGAATGTGCGTGAGAACAACACATTAAGTTATTCGATGGTGTGATATTGTGTGGTTTATTTCTTCTATTAAGACACATGAAGGGGTCTTCAACATTGGGTAGAAATAAGAGGGAGAAATCAATGAAAGTTTTGACCGTATCCAAGTTTACCCAGGCAGTGGGGTGGGTTAGGTTTTACCTGAGGGCAATTGCGGGAATGCATTTTCGTCCCTTCGGGGACTCATCAGCCGCTAGATTCAAAGAATCTGTAGGTATGGGTTAGTGAGTTGAATGGAGCTCACTTTGCGGAAGAGGTTGCGTCTAAGTTATCCGGTATTTGTGATTACAACTTCATTCGGATGGGATTTGTTCATCCAATAGTGAAATTAGGATATCAAGTGTGTTATCTTCGTTCTCAGTTGTGGAGGATTGGTTATCTTCCGTATGGCTGAGTTTGGCTCTGACAAGTCTCTTCTTGATGTTCTCAGCTATCTTATAGGCAACTAGAGGAGGTTTCGGGAAAACTTCCTTTAAAGTTGGGTTGCTTGAGATAAGATGCCAGTGTCTGGAGAGAGCACGCTTGATGTCCATGTGTTTTACATGGGGGTTGTAAGTCGTGGTGAAGACGAGGGGAAGTTCTTTTTGGGTTTTCACTTGTTCTGTGTGAATCATAGATTTCCTTTGTGAGAAATCGATGGATTGCTTGCACTTGTGAATATCGGCTTGATTGTAGCCTCTCTTCAGTAGTTTTTCTTCGAAACTTTGTACTTTTTGTAAGAAGTCGTCCTCATTGTTTGTGTTTCTGGCATATCGTAGGATTTCTCCTTTGATAAAACCTTGGAACACATGGTTTGGATGGGATGATGTTCTTTCCAAGTACTGATATGTTTCCGTAGGTTTCGTGAACACTCGTGTGTCTAGGGTACCCGTGGAGAGGAAATGCGGGCCTTTAATGATGGTAAGGTCCAGGTATGTGATGGAAGTTTCAGATGCCTCAAATGTGAATTTGAGGGTGGGATGCAATTGATTCAACTGGTGAACAAAATGGGTGAAGGATTCGAGTTGGCCGTTGTAGACGATAAGTATATCGTCTCTAAATCTTGCCCAGAACAGGATTCTGTCTGTGAGGGCTGAGATTTGTAACTCAAAATCATGTAACGTAATGTCGCAAATTTCTGGACTAGCCACAGATCCCATTGCACATCCTATTTTTTGTCGGAAGAAATTTCCTCCGAACTGGAAATAGTTGCGGCCCAGAACGAGTTCCAGGAGAGTGCGGATGTGTTTTGAAGGGGGTTTGGTTATGGCGTAGTTGTGGTTGGTTTTTTCGTAGGCTTTGCATACTGATTCAATGGCTTCTGCCTGGTGAATGTTGGTATACATGGAAACTAAATCGATGCTTGCGAGGAGTGAGTTTTGTGGGAAGGTTTCCTTTTCTAGTTTCCGCAAGATGTCTGTGGTGTCACGGACATAAGTGGGTTGGGCGGATACTATTGGAAGGAGAAAGTAATCCACATACTCGGATATCTTGGCTGTTGGACTCGTGCAACCGCTGATGATGGGTCTACCGACAAAAGGCTCACCCGGTGGGGGAGTCTTGTGTATTTTCGGAAGAAAATACATGGTAGGGCAGTTCGTGGGTTGTTCAAGTGGGTCAAGATAGGCAAAGGTATGTTTGTCGATGTGTTTGTTTCTTATCATGTCGGTGAGGGCGCTGTGTACCTTGAGTGCGGTTTCGTGAGTCAAATCCCTGTCTACTTTTTCATAGTGGTGGGAGCTGATGTGTTTGAAACCAACGTTTAGGTAGTCCTCACGGTTCATGATGCAAATGCCTCGGCCTTTGTCGTAAGGCTTGATAACAACAGATGGGTTGTTTTTGAGTTTGCGTATTGCTGATAATTCAGCTTGGGACATGTTTGTCTGAGGTTTTCTCAGTCTGACATGGGCGAGTTCCATCCTGATAGCTTCCAAATAATTCTCAAGTGTGGGGTTTTGAGTGGATTTGGGTTGCCAGGTGGATGGAGGTTTGAAGGGCCTTTTCTTTAGAACTTTTTTGTGCATCAAGAATGCAATTCTCATTCGTCTTTGATATTTGTTTATATCTTGGATAAGTGAGAGACGGGTTGGTTTAGCCGGGGTGGGAACAAAGTTTAAACCTTTGCCTAAAGCTATTTTCTCGGTAAGGGAGAGTGATAGCTTTGAGAGGTTGGTTATGAATTGTTCATTTTGGTTGGCTATTTTTTTCCGTTGGTTTAGTATACCTTAAACAGCTGAATGCAGTCAGCATCCCAGCTTACTGCCCTTCGGCTTGTCCTGAAACTGTAAGCTATAAGTAAACATGGACTTTTCGGGGGCCAAATTTTGTTTGGCAAGTTCTTCTTGTGTAAAATCGCACACCTGTTTTTCTTTGAGCAGATATGTTGGCATTGCACATACTGTACAAATATACAATGCCAGAATATGCAAGTACTTCTGTGTGTATTATATTAAGAGTTACAACAAAGAAATTTAAAACCCCCAAAAAACATAGCAGAATGAGGATTAGATGGATAAATGTTATGGATATCAATTTCACCTTCAACTGCTATTTTTAAGCTACAGTCCATCATTTGCAGCCATCCAAAATTTAACTGAAAAATTATTGTTGAAAAGCTCATTCGGTTTAAAGATAGTAATGACACTAAACTCCCAGTGAAATTATTCGTTCTGGCAAGCTGTCATATTGAAGAAAACAATTAAACGATATTTCCAACGAAAAAGATGCATCGATGGAAACTTCTATTAGTAGTTCATTTTTTATTCGGCAATGCGAGCACAAGCGTTGACACGACGCACACTCGTGTGCAGTTGCTACAACTCGCCAGTTCAGTGCGCGAAATCGCTTAGCCGCAATCGGTTAAATGAGAAGGCTGAATAATTCGCATGCAATTCAAAAAAATGACTGCAACTTTTGATTTGAAGTCCTACAATGTTGTTTTTCTCGGAATATACAGCATTCACTGTGCTAAAACTTCATCAGGTTAGTTGTTCAGCAACCTTATTTAGATTTTGAGATTTTTTTGTTGCTTCAGACTTAACATAATGCAAAAATTACAAATGATAGACTGTACAGAATATATTCAGTGTAACAATATTTGCCACTAAATGCTTACTCATCAAATCCATACATTTTTGAAAATGACAGTGTAGTAACCACCGCGAGGGGCAGGGGTTGGGTAAAGTCTCGTTATCAACTCCGAGGAGGGAAAGTGATCCCGGGGTTTCGGGCAAGAAGAAACGAAGAGTCTTGAGACACCTATGTATCCCAAAAATCTACTGGTTTATTTAGGAGACCGAGATCCATGGGACACAAAGTCAAGGAACATGCAACAGCGACGAATACAACTTATACAGATGTGTACGGGAAACACCACGGAACAACCCCGGAAAGACCCCTACGAGAGAAAAATGCACAAAAACTAGTTCATGAATTTATCCCTCACATACATTTGATGAATACAATTACATTATGATGAAGTACACTATTTAAAGTGAGTCACATTTTAACCTTAAATTATCTCACAAAATACATGTAATAACAGGTCCGGCCGCCAACACTCACCCAACACTGGAGGGTTTCAGAACAACCTATGTCCCACGGCCGGTGTGCATGTAGGCTAGCAGCCCCCTGCCTGATGTACTATCTAAAAGCCCTGTTTATGCTGCATACGAAACAGAAAACTGTTCGTGACACACAGCACAAACCACACAGTGGAGCGATTAGGATAATGTTTTACAAATGTATCAATTTCACCCGCCGCTCAGCCGAGCCAACACAATGCGTGCACAACTGCCAAAAAGCAACGTGTATTCCACGCGCAAAATCATGTGCACTGAAAACGTGACGGTCATGACCCAAAAATACAAGCTAAAATATTCCATAATCGGTTCCTACCCAAGCCATAAAGTATATAATCTTGATCCCCAATAAGTATACTTTCATGTGATATACAGATGCCCACCAAGATCTCCTCAAAAAGTATTTTATGAAAGGGTTTCTCACCAAGAGCCATCCAGGTCGAGGCCTAGTCTGTTCCAGCTCATTTGGAAAAGGACCGTTGCAATACAGTAAGACGCAAGGGCGCCCTCTGGCCGACAAGGCGATAAATAAAATTACACACCCCTACAACAGCAACAGCAAATGTTGTATATTCACTTTACTCCTGCGGAAACTTTGCTTACACATTGTTAAGTTTTACTCTGATGTAAGCTTTTACATCATTTGGCTTCCGATCTGGAAAAAAGCTGCGGACAGTCTCTGTGACAAACAAAAATTAAAATCCAAATTCAATACACATCCTTAAAAAAGCAAGGAATGTAACTGTGACTTCAGAGAAGAGAATGTCCATTTTTTAATAAATGGCTAAATTACCAAACTCTTGTGTTAGTAATTGGCTGGTTGGGGATCGTTAATGTTTATCATGTAGCCGACAAGTTAAGTATGTGGGAGTCGTATTTCCTATGACTTTATAAGACTGGTTTCACTCTGGTTTCTAGAGAATATCTTGCTCGCACGTAGCACGTGTCTATTTAACCTACATTTTAAGATGGGCTCTGTGAGACAGGCAGTTTCAGCACCAACCGTTTCACTTGTATTCAACTTACTGTAGCTTGGTTCTTGTCCCTCAAGACCGGTAACAATGGAAAAGGGGAGCGGACACAGGACTTCCAACAATAACACTTTTTTTATCAACAAAACTCAGCGGATAACCTTCCGCGCAAATGTCAAAACAACAACTTCAACGTTACACTAGTGCTCTTTCAAAACACACTACAAATAGGAATGTATAACAATGTATAACAATCCACAGGCCACCCAGACACTTTGCCAAATCACCTCCCGCGCCCGCCAAACCACAAGCATCCCGAAATAGAACCCAATTTTCGGTGTACGCCAAGCACAAAAGAAACAGGTCAGGGCACTCCGCCGGCGGTCCTTGGCACCACCGGCGGCTTACAACAGATTAACACGGCAACAAAAGGCTATACAACTGTCCGTTGCATTACCAACAATGACATTCACGGCATTGCCATTAAGGCACTCTTTCCGTCTGGATTCCTCCACTTTGGCCGACTTCCTTCCAGTCAACGAATGAGTAGCAAGGTGCTGCTCATCAAACAAGCATGTCAGCAAATCATTTGTCAACTTTTGGGGGTCCTTAGTGTTGGACCTCCGCAGCATTTCTGCAGTTATCGGCCCTGAAGTAGAGGTATGAATCTGAAATTAACACAACAAATAATTCATTAGAACTTGTTAATCCTTTAACCCTAACCTCCCAAAAATCCATCAAAATCATGTCCCTGTTTGAAGAATTTAGATAGATTCAGGGTACCTCCACATTGAAAACCGGGACATTTTGAGGGATTCAGAATTGTAAGCCTAGTGGAACTGCAGGATTTTGATGGATTCAGGATACCTCCATACTCAGCAGTTACAAACACCCACATTTTGGTGCACGACACAATCCATGAATTTCGTTGGATTCAGGGTACTTTCTAGTAAAGATACCCAAGGGATTAGTGTTTAAATGTAAAATATTCTAAGGATGCAGAAACACATGATTTTTGCACAACAAACATTCAACAAAATGCTGTTGAAAGAACAGAGACTTGCCTTCCTCTGTTCAGGGCTGCGCAGTTCATGGGAAACCGCTCTTGAGGTGCTTGGTACTGCGGGTAGCTTTGGTGAGTCTACCTTGCACAACTCCTCCACTTTCGTAAGAAGTGTCGGCAATGCTGAAAAATATGACAACAATATATTCTTTGCATGAACATCTGCAAATCAATTATTTTTGGGATTGTGTGCCAGTAAGTACATTGAGGGAAAACACCAAGATGGTTACATTTATAAGTTAGAAATAAGCAAAATGTTCTAATGCAATTTTCCAATAGCCTTTGAAGGTTGAGGTCACCGGCAAATGGTTCTGGTGTCCCGCCTATACACATTGTATTTTTGTCTTGAAAGCCTGGAAATGTATAAGCATTATGGAATTTATCTCCCTCCCCTCCACCCAAAAAGATAGAAACATACCGTCGATCAAGGCAAGCGCATGAATCAACCTCTTTGTTTCTTTCTTAAACTGGAGCTTATCCCGTTTCTCTTTCTCGAGCTGAGCCTCCGGTTTAGACATTTTCTCCCTGGCTTGCTCCAGCCTTCTGCTGGAATTTCAGCATGGTCTCTGAAAAAGATGAACACATCATTCGTAAAAGACATAGGTTTATTTAAAAATTAAAATAAAGGTAGCAATTGTTGGATCGAGTCTACATAGAGCATACTGCCATGATTTATTGAAAAAAACTAAGCTGGAGTAGTTAATTCAGGCAAGATTTCCATCAACAATAAAAAAATTTACAGGCAAAACTAAAACATTTTGACTTTGACACCCCCCTTAAAAAAAATTTTAATATAACAAACGACACTATCACTCTGAGTGGGGTGAGAGCAGGGGTGCCCATGTTATCCTTCCTTTGAAAAAAAACCTAAAAACCCCTGTGGGGTCGGGGGAGGGGGATGACTGTGTGTGCATAAATAACCTCTGTTTCCTCATCACTGAAAGCAAGTTTAGCAATGAGCCTGCCGAAGTTCGCGTTCTGTTCTTTTTTTCCGGTCGCACACTCTGAACAGTGAATTCTTCCTGAATTTTGGGATTAAAATGAGAAGTAAAAATATAGAATGTTTTTGGAAAAAAAAATACTAAACATTAACCTTAATACACAAACTGTACAGAAACAATATAGTATTAGTATGCATGTGCCTTTGTTAATCACAGTGTGCAGTATCATTGTTTGTGTACTGCAAAATGCAAATAAACTGCAAATAAACAGAGTCCAACTGTTTGTGCACAGTTTACCATATGGTGTTGGGATTTCCAAGGATGAGAAAGCTTCCTAGTAAATCCCCTCGGGGAGTGAGGGTTAATACCTAAAAAAATGTAAAGGTATTTTTTCCTATATTTACTTGGATGAACCACAGACCTAACTCATCATCACTGCCACTGTCCTCAAGGGATCTTTTCTTTTGACAGGAAGTCTCTTCCCTCTGCCCATATCTCCGCTGCTGCTGTTCGTTTGGCTGTAATCAGTGCCAGTTTCCTGTCTAGTCTTAGACAGACTTTTTGAGATCCCATTTGTCATCTTGTTCCTCACTTTAACAAGATCATCTCTCTTGTCTGATGAAAAGAAAGATTATCACGAAACAAATTTTGAATAGTAGACCTAGGCCTATTTGACTCGGGCAAAGTGAAAACAAACATATCTCCTGCCTTTACAAAATGTAGGCCATTACAAAATGGAAAGATTTCTATACAGACGTCACTTGACACCCTGTGTACAAACCTATAAGACCGGTCTGAACAATTGTAAGTGTTTTTTTTACTAAATGCTTCAAAATGTTCCCTGCTAAATTTTACTTTTTAAGACGTGCTCTTAATTTAATTTGATAAAAATGTAGATTTAAGGCCATTCAAAGACCAACAAAAATTAAAACCATGAAAACATATGTCATTCGGAAAAATTAAACTTGCTACAACCTGACGCCACTTTTTTCCTCCTAAATCATCTCAATGAAGGTCAGTCATCAGGCATTTGGGGCCATTGCCAAAATGATGATAAGACATGAATCTGGGACTGGACATGACTGAGAAACATTTCAAATTTTGTAGGAAAATACTTTTAAAAGAAAATTCTTGACTCTCCATAACTAACTTTGTAGACAATCGCGGTGGTGGCGTCAGGTTGCAACATTTTTTTTCCAAACATTTCAATCATTAAATCAAAATGAAAAAAAAGTTTTGTCAATGAATTCAACTTAATTAATCTCAATCTGGATCAAATAATGAATAAAAAAATCATAAGGAATCTGCCCAGGGTAAAACATTAAAAAGTACTGGCGGGACTGTTCCCGAACCAAGTTATTCCTCGGACCAGGGACTACACAAAGCAGTCTAAAGGCTAAGGATGCAGGCTCGTTTTGGGTGGAAATCTACCGCCGCAGGAATTGATCCCTAAACCTTCTGTTAATTAGGCAATAACACAATAACAAGGACAACTGGCAACTGAATGGTCGGTAATCTCAAGTAACACGATGATTTATTTCAGAGACAACAATTAAATGATTCAATGATTTGGGAGTAATTGTCTTAGGTAGCTTCATTACAACCTGTGGTTTTCGAATATGAGCCCTATTTGCAATACACAACTAATATCGCACTGCTCACTCCAATAATCACTGCACAAACTAATGCTGCATTACAGGAACGCTATAGCAATGCACAACCAATGCTGCAATACATGAACGCTATAGCAATGCACAGACCAATGCTGCAATAAAGAAACACTACAGCAACGCAACAACCAATGCTGCACTGCCTAAACAATATCGCATTGCATAGCTCAGTGCCACTGTGGAGATATGGTTTGTGCGCACGTAGCACTACGAAATCATGGGCCCAGCCCCAATCCACCACGATGCACCCACAAGACGGCTAAACTGTCCAACAGTTCGCCTGCGCGTAGCTAGCATATAGCGCAAATCACCATATAGAGCCGTCTCGCCCACGTCATGTTACTGCAGCAACGCACAACGCCCTCCATATTGGATAACAGGGACGTTGACGGCGCGAAGTTTAAAACACGTAAATAGGCTACAGACGATCCCGAGTACGACTCGACTTGCAAGACAAGTTAGTGTCATGATTCATTGATCTCCAGTGCTAAAGTGCTTGCTGCTACCACTAAATCGACAACTGTAGCGGGGATGTAATTCCAGGTAGGCCTACTAATCATAACATTTCAATGTCATGAAATTAAGTCCGAAATAAAAAGAAACCGTTGCGTCCGGAAATTGGGCACAAATTCAGCTGGGTGTTCCGTAAGTAACGAGTAAACGTGCAGACTTGGCGCACTTGAACAAATCTCTGAAAATCCCACATTAACATTTAATAATTTCTTTAAAATTGATAAATTCAGATAAATCATTGTAACCTCCAGTGTGTAAAGAAATCATTTTCATGTTTTGGGGCGCATTTAAAAAGAGTTCATTGTCATTGTGCACTTCGAAAAAAAAATCAGAAAATAACGCCAAAATAGAATTTCATTGGAACTTTGTAAATATGTTTTTTTAATGTATTGTTTGACTCAGGCCTAGCCCTATTCTCGATTTGATCCTCTGTATAATGCGTTGTTTACTGCAATACACGTCCAAATGTAAATAACGCATTATACAGAGGATCTAAATCGAGACTAGCCTAGCCCAAGCGTTAGTTCAGTATTTGACCATAATGACATTTCTTTTGTACAAAACATGAGACAGGCTGAATATTTAGGTTTTTCCTACTCATAGTGAAATCATCACATTTTTCATTGCTAATTTTTATCCCATCTAAACTGCACTTAGCCTTTGGCCCAAGTTATTGTTTTTATTTAAGGAAAAAATGTAATTGTCAATTAAATCAAGGGCAAACACTGCAAAGGTTGATTTATAATTTCAAGTGTTGCCCTGTATGAGCTTGATGAGAGCTGGCGATCACCAGTAATGTGTGTGTATGTGTTATTACTCTGCAGATTGAGCACCATTAATTTTGCTTTTTTGTGTTCTGTTTTTATTTCGCAGTTGACTGTATGTAAACCTGTTATCATGGCAGCAAGATCAACATACTACCAAGCCCTGCAAAAGTCCGATATAATAAGATTCTGCAGTGTATTGATGACATTGATCCATACACAATTAGTTTGCGGTCATGGAAAGAGGATCCACATTCTCTTCCTCAAATATCGTATCCTGACATTGTTAATTTTCTAGTGTATACTCCTAGTCCATACACTTTGGAGGACTTGAAATGCTATAAAGGCCTGGATGCGTACAACCAATTCGTAAGTGGATGGGTTCGTGATGTCATTTCTACCGTCATCAACGGCAAGCACGTTGTTACAGCAAAGGTAATAAACTAAGACTTGGTGGGAAAAAATTATGTGCCCTTAATGTAAACTTTCTGTAATTCACTCCCCTTCAGTGCACACCATAAGAAGATGCTAATACAGTGCAAGTCTTTAATTGTCCTTGTTATGAAATATACAACTTTTCAAGGAAAAAAAATATCAGAGCTTTACATTCCATATTTTGTACATTGGTCTTGGGCATGTTACTTCGTGTGATATTCTTTCTGTTTGGTTTACTGAAAATGTTTTGTAACTTTTTTTCTTAACACTTGCAGGTGATGCATTCACAGAGACTGCGGGAGGCGGCACTCAAGTCATGGTTAATTGCAGAAAAGTGTGGAAAGATCATCGCAACCCACTGCAACTGCATTGCTGGTCTCGGAGAGGCTTGTACTCATGTCAGTGCTTTGATGTTTTACTTTGACACAAAGGTGCGTATCAGAGATAGCAAAACAGTAACACAGGAACCAGCTTACTGGAAGATTCCATCTGCTGTAAAGGATGCCCAATACTTACCTGTAGCTCAAATAGACTTTACATCAGCCAAAACCAAAAAGAGGAAGCTTGATATGTTAGTTAATGATGGTTTGATGCCACCTCCACGGAGCAAGGTGCGGAAGATAGTTCCTGGGCCTGCTGATGCTGAACTCACAACCCTCTTCTCGCAGATGAATGCAACAGGAACTAAGCCGGCACTCCTCAGCGTTGTACCTGAACACTGCCACCAATTCAAACCATCACATACTGACAACATTCTTCCACCAATTCTAACCGATCTGTATAACCCTCAGTACTCAACTCTCCCATTCCCGACCTGCTTAACAGATGCAACGAATTTCAGCTGACAATTACCCAAGAGGAGGCAGACAATGTAGAAAAGGCAACAAGAGCACAATCATCCAGCAAGAAATGGTTTCGTTTTCGATCAGGCCGCACCACTGCATCAAAGATGAAGAATGTTTGCAGGACTATTCCAGACCAACCTTCTCAATCACTCATTCAATCTGTGTGCTATCCAGAGTCGTGCAGGTTTTCTACAGCTGCAACCAAGTGGGGATGCTCCCATGAAATAGAGGCACGGCAGGCTTATGTGGAAAGAATGGAAGAAGTGCACCATAATTTTTATGTTAAGGACTCTTGCTTGGTAATTAACACAAATTGCCCCCACATTGGGGCTTCCCCAGATGGGCGTATT